TTAGCTGTTGTTATCCCCTACTCCTTTGCGCTGTTCCAGACAATTGGCCGTAACCGCCCTGAATTAATCGGTAATCCGTAAGAAATAAACAAATACTTAACGGTTCTGAAACACAGGAAGGCCTCAGACACATCAAATCTGGAAGTAAAGGTAGTGGTGAAGTGGGACCTGCGCTCGCATTTGTCTTGCCGTCAGCTAATTGCGCGTTATGCATTAATAAAGGCAGTCTTTTGTTTTCTTAACGCACTGTCGTGAATTGGTGGTTTTTAGGTGAAATGGCTACCCCAAGAAGGCTGAGCGTACTTGAAAAGTTAGCCAACACATTTGGTGTGATATACCGATATCAAGCACGTGAGGTATGCTTCTTTTCCGTATGAGGCTTTAGGCATTATTTGTCACTTGTGCGTAACTTGCTTTTAACGCTATTCTTCAGATGTAAATGTAAATTAAATGTTTTCGAAAAATATAAAAATTTAGCTACTACTTTGTTACTGTGACGTATATGTTATTTTTCTGAAGGTTTTGTCAAATACTGACACATGCACGTAACTATTACAGTTTCCACGTCGGATCGGTATACTAAAAGACGTTATTCGTAAAGAGGTGGCGCCTCCAAGACCAGGTGACTGGCCTGCAATTAAGAAGGATTTCTTTGCTGTAGTCACTGCTTTAAAAACAGGAGTTTACACGAATTACACTGTTCGAGTAATTCTTTATCGATCTTCACAAATTGGTATTTTGAAGATTAGAAAGTTTCTAGGAGTGTGAAGTTATGAACAGGATTCTTTCTAGTGAAAAAACTTTACTGTTTTTTCTATTACTCTCCAAAGGAAGACAGCATATATTAAAAAAGAAAGCTGGTCTTTGTTAGTAAAACAAGGGAGGCCTTACTTTAAGGTTTATAAGATTGTTGAAAACGCGCAATTACTGTTAGGGAAGGACATTTCTAATCTTACATTCTCTGTCTAACACAGATACAGCAGTGGTTTTTGGCAGTATTTAGTTCTTTTCGGTCCGGGTTGGGCTTTATCAAACTATATTTTGCTTTATTTAAACATTGTTTACTGCCTTTTTTGACCCTTGTTACTGTGCATATCGTTCTTGCTTAAGGAGTCTTTGGTATATATGGCAGTCGGGATGGAAATTATCTTCTGGTTCTTTTTTGGAGAGCAGGTTGGTAGACGACATTTTAGTGGGTATTTGGTCCGCCATACTTACATCGCCAAAGCAGATAGGAAGAAGTTGCAACATGGCGTTGTACCCGACAAGAAGGCTCTGTAGTGAGGGAAAAGTTATAGGTAGTTTAGCCTACAAATGGATCAGACTGTGTTACACAGTTATTAGTTTATGAAGTTGTAAGCAAATTCGATTTTTTCTGTAATAAATGCTGTAGAAACAAATCAGTCTTTTTAATCAGAAGCTGTTGATTCTCGTATGTTATTACAATAATACATTTAATAGACACGAACTTAACTACATTGAAGCAAATCAGTCTATGTCACAAATATTCTAACTGTAAATTTATTGACTTTCTTAATGTAGGTGAATTGCTTGTCACGGTTTTTTAGTCGGGTTATGAAGAGTTCGCAATGACAAACGTTGATAGGTCCGACAAGTTGCAATTCAATGCTGCTTATATTAGTCCATTTGATCTTTACAGTTTCCCTCGTTTTTCAGGCGCTGTTCTGGCACTAATAATATTGATTTAAAGTGGAGGAGCAATTTTGTTTGAAGTTTGGCTAAGAAGTGAATGCTGTGCAGCTTCTGCTACAGTTATTAGTGTGCAAGGCCAGGTAGCACCGGGAATTTAACGTGTTATTCCACATGAATTGGTTCACTATATCAACGGTTTATGAGTACACGACTAGATTTTTTTTTTTTTTTTTAGAAGAACGGCCAGGAACAAAAGCATTACTTAACTTTGCTTTTTGGTTCTGAAATTGCTGGAGGTTGTTTTAAAACTAGTAGCTCCATGTTTCTGTGAATCAGACTGAATAAAATCGCGAAAATTCAAGTCTGGTCTTAACCTAAGCCAAAACCTTAAGCCTGAGATTGACCTTAAAACTAAATCTAGTTTACCCACAAACCTATTTTTCGTCTTAAACCCAAACCGCAGTCGTGTTATCAAGCCTAAGGTTAGCCGCAAGGCAAAGCTTGAAACTAGGCTTACCTCCACGCCTGGGCCTAAGCCGAGCGTTAGACCGGAACTTAAACCACAGTCTTCCTGAGCCTAAGTTTAAAACTAGAACTCTCATTGAACGTTCGCTCTGGACTTTGTCCTAAACTTGAGCACTACTCTGGAATTGGCTCTAAACCTCGGAGTTGGCTTCTGGCCCAGGGTTAACTTTGCCTTTTCTCCAATCGTAAGTTTTTGATGTTCAGTTTGTCTCGGACGAAATTAAAGGGCACTTGGATTTTAAAATGCCGCAGTCTCTAATCTCCTCTTGAAGACAGTCTTTTGCAGAGGATACAGTTGCTCAAGTCGGTGCTTTATTTTTGTCCTGTGTTGCGTACACATTTCACAGATTTGCTCTCTCCTTCATAAACCTTTAAGTTTTGAATTCGCCTTTATTTACATCTAAATTATTACTAATTCCCTCTGGGTTCTGTTTGACTTCTGTCACCCGTTTTTTTTTTTTGATTCAGTTCATTTTGGGTAACGATTTTACCTAGCTGAGCACGAGAATTGTCTTTGAGAAAGTTCTTATCAATTTAGCTGTCTACGTTGGAAGTCTTTGGGCCAGGCTGCAGAATGAAAGGGTACTCATAAGTCACGCCTCACAGTTATCGCAATACTCACAGCCAAGTATGTAACTAAGGTGGAAGTCCACGTAAATATTTATACAAATTTAGAAAGAGTGCAGTTGCTAGTGGGTGTGTTAAACAGTAGCGCTGGCTGTTTGTCCTCAGCAGAGCTTGCGCCAAAATGATTATGGTTATCATCTTTTGACCTTGTTACTTTGTTAGGATCTCCATAACAAGCTTCCGCGTAAGTTTGTTTTGGTTTAGTCTGAAGTTTGAAATTATAAATGAATTTTTAATTAATGCAATTAGCAGAAAAGTGCAACCACTGTATGGAAAATGACCTCTGGTAGTTCCGCGTTCAAAATAAAAAACTAGTTGCTGTTTGCATCTCTAGCCGTATACTTATGGAAATTTCTGTGTGTGCAACAAGCTGTTTATCCGGTGAATTTTGTGCTGAAATTCTCTCGCCCTGACCGTAGTTAGAAAAACTTGGGCTCTATGGGAATATAGGAAGTGAGAAGTCTTTGGAGTTTTACCAAAGCTCCTGGAAATACAGTGGAAGACCGGAGCAGAAAGGCCACTCATGACAAGCGACCTCTCAAAAAAACTTCCATACAGCAAAACCTGTTTGCCTCTTCAGACCAGAGTTCCTCCTCAACTAAACAACCATAAAATTACACCAAACAGCGAGCTCTCGCTAAAAGAAGAGTAAACAGTAAACGGACTAGTGCCTACTACATCCAAGCGCTGCGCCAGTGCGTGTGAAACTAATTTTTGCAAAAAAAAAACTAGTATGAGGTATCACGACTTTAATTTCAGCAAGTCGGGCACTTACTGCGTCCAAAATGTGCAGAAACCGAAGCGAAAGAAAAGAATGATTACAGCCATGACTTTATGAAAGACATCTTTGACATGGCATCAGATTACAATGATGGAGATGTAAGCTGCCGGCCAGTAAGTAGAAGTAATATCAAGGTCTTTCCCACGGGACACCACTGGTCACTCAATTCCTTCAAGAAAAAAAAAAAGTAAAAAAACAAATAATTTAAGGGTTCCCCAGCTACAATTTGACCAACAAAAAGGCTGGTGAGCTTGCTTAGCTACTCAGACCAAAAACTTGTACCTAAGGCGACGAATCGAGAGCAATTCAGAATAAAAGAGCTGTGGAAACAAAGTCACAATCAAAAAGGCATCAGTGACAATGCCACTAACTCAACGGATTCTTTAGACTAATTTCTTTCTCAACGAATATAAATATCAGAAACCAAAAATGACATAAAATGATACTAAGCAACTCAGGAACTACAACCATACGAGAAGAATCACAGGACACATTGCTAGTTAGAACTATCTGTCGCGTTCAAAAGTAACTTTACATTTACCAGTCTGCTCCTTATTGAGGAATGGAATGAGAGCAACTATTATTTAAAAAAAGCTTTATATTTCTAATGTGACTTCTTTGAGTCTTGATTCGTTTGCGACTGTGCATGAGAATCCTTAGCTGCACCTCCTCTTGGGTAATATTTGTCAAGAATTGCCACAGGGATACGTTTTAGCATCTCTCGAGGAAAGATTCGTAAAAGCTGCCATCCAATGTCGAGTGACTCAAAAACTGTCCGATTTTCATAGTTACCTGAAATGGTGGAAACTTACAACATTTTTTCAAAGGTAGTCCTGAATGCGTTTAACCTATTTTAAAATACTTGACTGCATAAAAAATTGATGTAAAAGATCACATCCCTCACCTTGTGAAATGAAATTCTTTTCGAACTTAGCAAGGAACTCTATGTACAAAAGATCATCAGAAGACAGTGCTTCTTCACCAACGACTGCCTTCATTGCTTGTACATCCTTCCCAATAGCATAACAAGCATACAACTGGTTAGAAACGTCAGCATGATCCTCGCGCGTCATACCTTCGCCAATAGCCGACTTCATTAGTCGCGACAACGATGGCAATACATTAATCGGTGGGTAGATTTGTCTGTTGTGTAACTGCCGGTCTACGTAAATCTGCCCCTCAGTAATATAACCAGTCAAGTCGGGGATGGGATGTGTGATATCTAAGGTGATATAATATGCATTATTTCAAGTGAAACAACTATCGTTTACAAAAAAGATGATGTCACAAACAAAAATACCGTCATTCGGCATGGACAAAATTGGGATCTGGGTGATGGAGCCATTACGACCTTCAACACGACCAGCACGTTCATATATTGTAGCCAAGTCAGTGTACATGTAACCAGGAAAACCACGTCTACCAGGCACTTCCTCACGAGCAGCAGATACCTAAACACAAATAACGCAGTTTAATACGAAAAAAATTCAACATAAACAACTGAACCATAGGAAAAAACGATTACACTACTACCTCTCGCAAAGCTTCTGCGTACAAGGACATGTCGGTAAGCACGACCAACACATGCTTCTCACACTGGTAAGCCAAGAACTCGGCAGTGGTCAAGGCTAACCGTGGCGTAATAATACGCTCAATGCTGAAAAAATCATGATAGTTCCTGAGTCAATATGCAAATGAACTTTGTTGCACAGCAGTCTATCCCCTCAAGAATAGGCAGCTTTTACTGAATATTACAGAAGCCATTATTAGAACTGACGTTGGATCATTGGCAAGGTTCAGAAACAAGCACACGTTCTCCATAGATCCGTTCTCCTCAAAGTCCTGCTTAAAGAAGCGAGCTGTCTCCATAGTGACACCCATAGCGGCAAAAACAATAGCAAAGTTATCTTCCTTAGCATCTGTGGGACGATCTGGTAGTTTTACAAGACCTCCCTGGCGTACGATTTGAGCGGCTATCTTAAATAAATCTCTTACATTAAAAATCAATACGAGGGGAAACCTGTCCAAGACTTGTTATAGTTTAGAAGCCTTAGGCAGAACGATTTTAGAAGAGAGGCCAAAACCTAATTGAGCGCCTTAAACGAAAACGCGTTTGTGAAGTGCACTTGTAAAGAAAAATATTGTTTGCTGAAACTGAAACTAATAACCTCATCGTGAGGTAAACCTGCAGCAGAAAAGATAGGGATTTTTTGCCCTCGCGCGATAGAATTCATGACATCAATCGCCGAAATACCAGTCTGAATCATCTCCTCTGGATATATACGGGACCACGGGTTGATTGGCTGCCCATCAATATCTAAGAAATCTTCCGCTAGAACTGGTGGTCCCTAGAAAACCTAATGATCTGAATTGGTCGCTTTAATCAACAGACATGAAAAATGGATTGTCAGTAACTTTATCAATTGGTTTCCCTGAACCATTGAATATGCGACCAAGCATATCCTCAGAAACAGGAGTTCGCAAAATATCACCAGTGAACTCGCAAACCGTGTTTTTTGCATCGATGCCAGCAGTGCCCTCGAATACCTGAAATCCTCAACCGCCTTGACCTTTTCAACTGGTGTTCTTTGTTACAGACAGCTTTTCACAAAAGGTTTGTAAATTATGCAACATTTTTACATGGAAGTAAAGGTGACCATATCAGTTTTGAATCAGCTGATGACTGAAGAACCAAACTCCCAGAGAAAAAGTATTGAATTTACACTTAAGGAACGACATTTTCCAAAGCCGTACTTGAACCACAGCTTTATTGCGAGTAATTTCCAGAACCTGTCCAGAACGCTTTGTACCATCAGGAAGAGTCAACTCTACGATTTCGGAATACTGCGGGAACTTTACATCACTGAGTATAACCAAAGGTCCATTGACACCAGTAACAGTTTTATACGCTGGAATTGAATTAAAGCAAACACCAGTTCAAAGTTGCGAAGTAAAGTCAACGACTAGATAAGAAAACGTACTCAAACGAGGATTGGTGTTGAAATTCCGAATAGCTGCAGTCTTGCGGCCAGCAAAACCGGCGTTGACGTCTACTGATGCCATGTTTTGCCTACCATTGACATTAAATTAAAAAAAGTTCTGGGTGTACAATGCAAGTATTAAAACCGGAAAAGTTTATAACCGCAAATCATAGTCGGCAGTTAAAGTTCAAGAACAACCAATGATACAAATACGTCTGAAACAAAAAAGAAAAGAAATCAAGAAAGCTGCGAGCGAATACTGCTCTGTGTCTGGAAAGTTTTAGGAAGACGGGGTATTGAGTAAAAAAATAAATAAGAATGAAAAAAAAATAACGGATGACGCAAAAGTGTGAGTTATAATCAGAAATATACATACAAATTTATCAGACCAAGACTTTTTAAGCAAATAATCAGAAACCCATAACTTCAAAAGCTCCTGCATGAAGCGGAAAACCAATTCCAAAAACCGTATATCTGTCCGCAAGAAAGACGTAAAGCCAACGGCTGATATTTGGTCTTTTATCTTGGAATTTAAGTAACGAACAGCAAATTTTCGTTGCAGGACAAAACTATCTCTTACACAACTCACCAGTATTGCAGCACAAAGTTTCTCGCGCTCACATGCGGGTAACCCCTGAAGAGACACTTCGGCAGTCACCAACTACATGGTTACGAGCTTCCAACATTTTTTGATGGGCCTGCTCGCTAAACAAATTACGAAACTGTAGAAACTTCTTCGGACACAAGTTGTTCTCTGTTCAGGACCGCCAGTTATAAACTGGTTTGCAGTTAATTCTCCTCCGTTGAATCAGGCGAAATTTTTTTTGCTTATCTCCTCGCAAAAGAAGACACTTTTCTAAAATAAAGCTTTTTTAGAGAAGAATACTTTACTAATGGTTTCAGGAGCTCCTGGAATCTGCAGTATATCTCAAATTGGAAATTTATTTTTCAAATCAACTTTGGAAGTGGAAATGATTTTGTACTAAGACTACAATTTCTGAAACTTACTGAACACCCCCAGCAAGATAAGTTTGAGCTTTTTAGTAAATGTTAAGAAAAATGCGTAATCGCAATCTCTTGACAGTAAACGACACATTAGCAGGAGAAAGAAAGTGAAATTATATTGTTACAAGCTGAAAAATTAATCTGAAAACGAAAAACATTATGACTGAAGGAAAAACAAAATTTTTGAAGAAATCTACTGCTGCAGCTCGACAAATACGTCGTTTTGCTTGTTGTTTCTAGCTGAAATGTTGTGAAGCACTCCGCAGTTCCTCCTTGGGCCCTCTGAATTAAAAAAAAAACTCCATTTGCAAGATGGGAAACTTTTAGGTGAGTTGAAGGCATTACAGTCTCAAAAAGTAAGGTCATCTAAAGCTTGAGAGAAGACATGGAATTTTTGAAATATTACCTACGCAGGAAATTACACATAGCGCCAAGTAATTGAACACATTTTATCAACAAGTTTGCTGTTTTTAAAGAAAGCGTTCAGAAAATGGTTTAAGAAGGAACTGGTTTCAAACGTCAAAAACTGTATAACAGAAAAGTACCGTTTGTCTACTCCGTTTCATAACTGCACTGGCAAACTGCTAACATTTCCATACGCCTCATTAGAATGGTCATAAAAAAGAACAAATTAATATTCGGTTTAGAATGAATTCGTCAGTCAAAATCTGCAGTTTTACGTAAAACCCTTCAGATTAAGGCGGCTCTGTTATATTAATTCCTTGATTGATCTACCGGCAATATCTCAGATTAGAGAAACCTTCTTTAATGCCTTTGTCGCTGAAACTGAAAGAAAAAGATAATGTAAGACTGCAGTACAGATGGGTTGCTTAGAAAATAGGGGGATCAGTAAGAATTTCTATCTTCGAGAAAAGATAATTTTCGTTCTACACACTTGTCAACTTTTTAATAAGCTTTCTTCTTCCTGCTCCCTTCCTCTCCTCTCTTAAAGATCGTCGAGATTATTTCGGAAAAAAGGTTCCAGTGAACCTTTGTGACAAATACATTTTGAGCAATAACTAGATAACAGCAGAGTTTGTAGTGCTCATTCCTGTAGCAAGCACCCACAAGCAAGAGATACTGCAGAAAGAGTTACTAGGTTGGTATCCGGGAGGATCAAAACCGTGTCTGAAATGGACGTCCAGTATATTTTTCTATCGAGCTTCTGTCAAGCGTTTACTATCAAAGGACTAATCATCGCCCTTCAGTAGATGAGATAAAATGCGACCAATTGCATTTGGGCACAGTTCATTTGAAGACGGAACTTCAAGAACCTAACGCAAAAAAAAACAGAAAAAGTTTAGCGTTGTACACAGTTTAGTGTTGTGTCTAGAATTGTAAGTGTGAGTGTGGAATCACCAACAAAAGGCTTAAGTTTTTTCTGTGGTTTCGAGAAGCGTGATCCGCTGATCTGCTGTTTATCTCCAAGAAACATCAGTAATTAAATGAATGGCACAGTTTTTGCCCTACTAAAGTTGAGGGAGAAATGATTAGAAGGGAAGGATTTATGACTGCCCTACCTTGGAAGTTTTCCTGAGATCTTCTGCGGAAGAAGCCTATATTGTTTTAAGAAATGACAGATGGAGAAAAAAGCAAATGTGATTAGAAAGCAGGCTTTTCTAGCTTGCTATCGCTCCTCTTCCTTCCATTCTCAATTCTTCAAAGTCGTTTTTCAAAAAAAAATTGTTTTGCCCGAGGAAAGTGGAGTAGTTTTTCTAGCCTTGATAGCCGTGACAGTCCTATCTGGCACCACCACACCGAAAAATTTCTCAAAGCTCTTGTGGAGTACCGCTCATGCTGTCCCGAAGTGACTGTGCAACCTTATGCTTTGCATATGACGCTATTCAGGCAAACAAGAGATTCAAAAAAATGTTATATTTCTTGTGGAAGTAAAAATTTGTACACTTCGAGGTATCAGCTTGTAAGTCTGTAAGTCCTGAATCGTTCATGCTAAAAACTTAACTCCTCTGGTTGAAACACCTCGGACTAGTAGAAACAGGCCTGTTTTGAGACATTGAAGATAATGAAACTTTTGAAAGAACCAATCGTAATCGAAGAGAGTGGAGAAAACAGAAGAGTCAGTCGTTTTTGCAGCGGGTAGTTCTAAGCAAAAATTCTTACTTTGAGCAGTGGAAACGTCCTTAATGGCAAAGCCTGGTAATCATCGCTTTGGATACCAAAGCGGGTATCAGGCTGCAGGAAAAAACACTTTCGCTTCATTACTACCACTTTTCCATTTGAGAAGTTTGCTTCCGAGATTAGCAGATTAAGTAACTGTACGTGGTTTATCGTTCGCTGATTTCGCTTTCAAAGGCTTGAGACTGTACATTTGAGGATGTGACATTGTCTTGTTCAAACGTGTTGCAATCCTACAACATTCAGCGTAATGAAACCTGGACCGAAACTCTTTTATTTATACATTCATCTTCTGAAAACTCGATATTCATGGAAAAATTAAAGTTGCCTCCAAAGCGGCAAAAGAACCACCGTCTTTGAGTTCGTTAATTTACCTTTCCTGAAGTCATTTGGAAATCTTTGTAAGCTCGGCTCAATGGGTCCTTTGATGTGAACATCTGGTCAGTGTTCACCACGAAAAAATTTAAGGAAAAAGTGATGAATGAATCGGTTTCCTCCGTTTACTTTTTTCTTTTTCATCTGCTCTCTTATTTAAAATACATCTAGCACTTTCCAGTAATATCAATACGTTATTTGAACAATGTCAAGTAACTTATTATTTTAGAGTTAATCGTCTTATGAAGATGTGGTTCTCCTAGCCACTTTGACTTTATGCAGCAAAGTGAAGTCAACTGAAAGATCATAATTGAGCAACCTGATATGTCAGTTCTATAAATTTTTCCAATACTTGTTAGCCTTCTACACAAAGATATAGCGTTACTTACATAGCCGCTTTGGTCTGGTTTCAGTGGCGGCCACTTGCATTGCTATTTAGAGACGTCAAAGTGAACCAAACACACTTTTTGCATGGCCAAAAAACTTTTACCTTATTTGAAAGTCTACTAGAAACAGCCACTGAAACGAGCCAATTTGGTTAAGAGAAGAGCAGAGCAGAAAGAAACAGTTAACTCATTGTCAGAATTGTTTGAATGCATCAACAAATTTCTCGCATATGTTATATGTTAATTACACGGTAACATAATGTGACAAGTTCACACAGCAAACATAATGGTGAACAAAGCTGCACCGTTAACAACAAAGCTGAATAAACAACTTCTTTTTGCCATCACTCGTATAATGAAACAGTCATTTCAACTTTCATTCTGGAAAAACTATGGCACTTTTTTTTCCCGTGTTAGCAACAAATTAGTACCATTTTATTGAACGATTAGTATTTAAAAACAAACTACTGTTTATAAAACCACAAGCCTTTGTACGTTTAAAATTAGCACAATTTATGAAATGGTGTGCCGCAAAAATTTGTCAGGCAATAATCCTGATTGTGGCCAATAACAACGAACACCGCCGAACAATATGTCAAGTTCCTCAGAGTATGCTCTCTTCCAGCGAATGACAGGCAAGAAGGACATGTAGGTTTCTTTAATAATTCCTTTACGATTTACCTCTTATTTTCCCGACTTACGTTATAAAATTCACCCTACTAGTCAAATTTCACTTACTATGTGGTTCACTCAACTCATGTGCATTTTTTTTTTTTTCAATTCATGTACATACTATAACAGCAAAAACTCGTAAACGATGCTAAAAACCAGACTATTGTCTAAAAACTATTCGCGGTTAAAAATGAACAAGTTTTCATGGGAGATAAATGTTTGCAGGAATTTGAAAGTTATCATCTACAACAAAACCAGGAACTTTGCTGGCCACACAATGGAAGTTACGGTGAAACGCAAATATACCATTCGAAAGCTAAAAGAGCACCTCCTGGGATTGACGGAAATCCCTTTGGACACTCAATATTTAATTTTCGGCAGTAAGTAGCAAACTTTTCTACTTATTATCCTCATTGTCGCTCTTTCCTAAGCAGGCAGCTGTTGGCTACACTGCACGTCACTGATCTTCAGAACGCAGGTACCTGTCCCTAAGAAAACACAAAATTAGACCCTCTTCGCCTTTCCAGCTAAAAACGCCTAGCGACGCTAAAACTCCAGTAATAAATGATCACTCAACTTCCTCAGCTATTATTACAGTAAAACACCTGGATGACGAAAAGACGTTAGATGACTACGCGCTAAGGGATGGGTACACAATTTACTTGACTCCCAGCTATGTTGAAGTTCCCGAAATGCCGAACCTTTAGCTGCGCCCTACAACGACCACACTACTGTACTCAAATGCCAATGGTTATTCTGTTTTTGCTTAGTTTTTTGCTACGTGTAAACTCAAAATATCCACCATTTCACCTTCAACCTTAAAAGTGATATAAGCCAGATTATACCTCGATGTAAAAATAAATTTAGTGCAGCTAAAGTTAACTGTATAATTCCTACCGATTGTAGACAATATATTGGCTTTAGAATGCAAAACCTCCTCTATAAATTAGTCTGTAAAAACAAATTGTTCTCAATCCAGTCTCATTTTCTTGAAGTAGGACTTGTTCCAGTAATAGTGAAACCAAGGTCTTTTCTAATTATACACATCCTAAAGAAAAACCAGCAGCAATGAAGTAAATAAAGAGCAAAAAATTATTCTTCACACTAAGAAAAACAACACAAGGATCATTGGGCAACCGCCAACCATACAGTGGAAAAAAAAAGCATTTAAAAATGATACAGTAAATGGTAGGATATCTGGATTGTCTTCATGACGTAGTGCCTCGAAACCAAGCTTTCTTGGAGCATTCCTATACAGCAACAGAGAATTTCTTTAGTAATAAGAGCACAATGTACTGCGGAATGAAAAATTCAATAAGGGTAGTTTAGTACAAGCCATTTAGCGTAATTTCAAAAGCACTTACAACATATAATGCAAAATCAGATTTATCATAATTCAAAAACCGTCCAAGCAAACGGTGACCAAGTCCACATTAAAGTCATACAGGATGGATGCATTTATTCTGCGGGAAAAACTTATCTCTTAACAAAAAATCATCCTTCAACAATTATACATAAACTTAGAAACTCCAGGACGCATCTCAAAACGGTTAAAATCTTAAAACACATTTCCTTCCAATAATTCGAAATCACCAGTTTTTGATAAAAACTACAAATGCAACCGATAAAATACATATCACTTGAAACATAGACGAAATGGCAATATTTTCTCAGTACTGACAAATGATTATTGCTATGACAAAGTGAGGAAAAAGATAAAGCGCTCAATGCTACTTCATCAAAAATGTTAGAATAGAAAAATTTTTCTTTAATACTTCTGTTTTTTTAACAGAGGAGTATACCTATCTTCATCCTCATCAAAAAATCTACAGATGAAAAAAGCGATGGAGACTACAAATTTTAGAATCTACACTCAGAGACACAAGACTATCAAATTATTCAATTATAACTTTCATCCACTAAATTTGACCATTTAACTGTAAAAAGTAAAAATGAAAAAAAAAATAAGCAAGTAAGGACCTAGCATTCAGAAAGAGAAAGACTTTATCTAAAAAATAAATCATTTTAGGCCAGTTCGAATATTGCAACTACGTTAAAACTGAACAAGAGAATTAAATTAATGGATCTTTATTTAAGCAGGAGTATGCAGGGAGATAGCCTAATATCTAAGTAATCATCCTGAAGGGAAAGAAAGATAGGGCCAACCCCCTCTATTACCTAAGAGTCACAAGACATTTTAAGACTAAAAAAACGGCATCTGAGCAGTAGATATCCCCAAAACACGCAAACTGAGGTAGGAAACAAAAAGGTTTGTTGGCAAGGCTCATTGAAATACAATACGACTTTCCGCTAAAAGCCCATAAAAGCGCAAACTGTTAGAAAAAATAATGTACATCTATAAAACCCTTATCGAAATATTAGCTAAAAAAAGCGAAAATAAAATTAGAAAAATGACTAAGCCTTTCAAGAAGGATAACCAAAAACTGCGGAATTTCAAAGCCTGATAAAAGACACAATTTGAAAAATTAAACAGGAATAAAAAACAGAAACAGAATTAACTTTTTCCCAAAATGCCAAAAACGAAACCCGCTGGAAGCAAATAATTTGCCTTATTATTTTAGAGTAACACAAGACAATTTAGCTTCAGGTCCTTGGGAACAGATGACAAAAACTAACTTTACCAACAGTAAAAAAAAGACGTGCGAGAAGAAAGAAGCCTGTGAGCACCGACAGACTCAAAATAATCTCACTCAACAGATGATTCACTGGACATACTCAAAACTATCACTAGAAAATAAAATTTCCACAAGACTTTTAAAATGACAGAAATCCTCTCTGAAAGTTTCGGGATAAAGCAAGACGCTCCGCAAATTATGAAAAAACCTACCCTCACTTTGCAATGGAAGGAATTTGTATAACATGCAATGCATAGGGATTCAGAATAAACGTTATGTTAACCACCCGTAAATTAAAAACAAAAGAAACCCCAACTCTATTACTCCAAAAAAAAAAAAAATTTCCCTTCAAAAAAGACTCAGTCATTCTCAACACCAGAAAAGTACCTAACAAACTTTGACATCAGGAACGCTTATTTGAAGTCCACACTCTGACGGTATTGTCATCTGAACAAGACACCAGCATGTGAGGATTCACAGGATTCCAAATAACAGCATTAACTTTACCAGTGTGGCCAGAAAGAGAAGCAATTAAACGATCCGACTTATGATTCCAAATACGTACTTCTTCTGTAAAAAATTCATTCAAAATTCTTTTCCTTTTATCAACACTTGCTAATACACAAGAACAATTCTTCACAAATTTTAACCTGTTCTAACAGAAGAACAAGCCATTCCACGTCAGTAATTAGAAATGAAACAACTGCCGCGTTCAAAAAGCTCAAGCTCAAGTCTCACCGTTACAACCCGTTGCAATATAATTTTGGTTGCTTCCACCAAATGATGAATGTACAATGAGGTCTTGGTGTGATGCGTCAGCGAATGCCCTGAGTAAAGTAGCGGTTTTCAAATCCCATAGCCGTAAACCATGCAATTTCGTATCGACTAATAGATAGCGCTCCTTCTTGTCCACTGCGAATGTTATTATCTGACTTTGTTCGGTGATGAAATTCTCTTCGGTCTCCGTAGCAAAGCAATATTTCCGGATCCTTAAGTATTGTAAACACCAATTTATTCAAAAAAACTCGAGAATGTTGCTCTATTGTACCCAAAAATATCAATAATATGGGAAAATTAACCCATTTAACTTCCTCGTAACAAATATACAATACCATAATAGACTTAAAATCTTTGAGATTAAAAACAAATATTCAACATCTCTCCAACAAACCTGTTATGGGTATCCGCAGCTAGTACGGTTCCGTCTTTGCAACAATGCAACGCGCGTATTCTATAACCTTCAAACCTCCCACTGATTTTGTGTAAGTCTTGTGAAAGAATCTAAATAACACCTTTTACTGGCAAACATTTGAAGTACAACTTCTAGAAAACAAACTTGCAAAAATAAACAACAGCGCGAGAATTTTCGAAACTCACGTATTGACAAAAATGCCCTTTTTGGTCCGCACATACAAGTCGGTAAGGTCGACAGCCAGGAAAAAATGCTAAAACTGTAGTGTCGCTAGTTCTGTTATCAATGGTGCAAAAGACAGTACCATTATGCACATCATATACGAAAATGTCAGTATCAGGTTCATCCGCCGCAGCAACTGCTAACATGATCGAATCCTCACTCCACGATAACACAGCACTGTTCTGATGACCTAAATAAGCCAATAATCAAAATCTTCATGACATGAGGCAAATTTGACTCAACAGTACAGAACCTCAATTTTCTAACAACACATTAATTTTAATGCGAATCTTTTGCAAAACCAACTTTCCCTCCAGGCCTTAGCACACACAAATAAAAATATCCAAAATTACAACCAGATGGCATTACGCAATTCAAGTTCAAAGAAACATTCAAAAAAGCCGGCACGTAAAGAAAATGTTAAACTATATTGAACTGTTTTAAAAAATTAAAACCTCCAAACGACTTATACGGTTCCAACAAACACTGGCTCACGACCTTCCAAACAAGAGTAGGCCCATTTTTCGCTCCAGTAGCGAGATATTTACCACATGGGGAAAAAGAAGCACACCAAACTTCATCTTGATGATTGTTCAGAACCTAGAAGCTCAAGTAAAGTTTAGATCTTGAAATACTGAATAGACTCATACGCAACCAAAAAATCATTATAAAGAAATGGCCAATTACCTGTGTCGGACAAAGAGGAAAGTCCTCCCAACTGCACTGATGGTCCTCCAGCACAAAATCAGGTGTCAAACGAGGTTCAGCCAAGTGTAAATAACAATCCTGCGACTGTGTCTTCCAAGCTTCAAAAGAATCTCAGTAACTTATAAATTAGTTGAGACAAAAAATTTCAATACTAGAGACACAAAGACCCTAGCTATTCATCGTCTGCGTACTAATCACAACTCATTTCACAAAGCAAAGCCGTTCCACCACTGTCTGCCCTAGTCCTTTAAACAAACTTGACAATTGCCTAGAAGATACCACTACCTGAGCTTGCCGTAGCAGTAATAAGAATCGCTTTCATAATTCAACTTTGAATAAAGAAATATATAAACACAAATGAAACAGTGTAATGTTTGAAAAATTTCAACAATAACTTCATAAACCGTAGTGAAAAAAATCTATTTACCACACTGAAATAGGATACAAAAAACCTTGTTTAAGTAGTTGCTCAAGCCTATTTGGAGGTAGCATAACAGATGTGGGAAGAAGCTGCTGCACTTCTGCAACTAAATCACCACGATCCTGTCTAGTCCTATGAGTTCCTGTTTTTTCGTACAGATCACAAGTCTAAACGAAAGAACATAAGCACTTGCAAAAACCCACAAAACAGCTAAAACACCGCAAGTTTTTTCAAAAAAAAAAAAGATAGTAAATAAATGGCAGCATAAAAAGACGTGTTGCAGTTTACTTTTGGATCAGCATAAAGTAATGTAGCTAAGAAATTGCGCCGTTCCATCAAAGCCATATCTGCAGGGAAATCGACTGTTAACAAACGTAGCGCTTCAACAGTCTAAAAAAAAATCCAAAAGACTGTTTTCAAGAAAGCTATGCAAAAAAAAATAAAAAATAAAAACTAAAAATTCAGGGAAAGTGGCTAAAACAAATCTTAGAATATACCAAACCCGATTATTGGCTAGTAATTCCACATATTTCTCCTCAAGAAATTTGCAACGTATACGTTCAAGATTAACTTGCGGCACGAACGACGACATTTTATTAAGTAAATGTAGAGACAAATCCCAGTCTCCGTTTAAAATACACTCTCTAAGTCTCACTGCCAAAGAATCTTCCAAACGACAACCGCTTTCAGTAAACAGTGTAGCAACCGTTTCCCTGAAGACATAAAAGAAGGTGAATAAATAAAGTTTAAAAGGCTTAACTGAGGTGATTATAAAGAGAAGGAACTGGTAGCTGAGGTATGGTCAACAATCAGCAAATTAAGCATCGTATTTCTTCTGTTCCAGTCAGAAAATAAAAGTAAAATAAAACAAAGCGAAAGGAACTTTTCATTTAAACAGCTAATTTTTTAAGTGGTTGAATAACTTACTGCAGACCCAAGTTTTTCAAGTACTGTCCTATAATACGTATTGTATTGATCTGTATTTGTGTAAGACAACGCGGTGATAACGAAACAGTTAAATGGTTATTATGATCGACTGCCGGTGATCGGCAAGTTGAAGTTTTTGGTGTCTGCAAGGCATCCTTTAATGTCGATTCCTGAAGATAAAGAATACATAAGAAAAAATAAGGAGACGACTGCTGTAAAAACCATCCTAATTTCACTAAAAGTTCTGAAGTCCTGAGCAAACAAAAAATCATTGCAACAGTGTAAGGTCACCTGATCTGAGGAAGAACAGAAAAGCAGTGTAACAACTTGAACTTGGTGAAACTAATCAATTATGACTAGTTATTACTAATATCATCAGACACGAATTCTGCCCCATTAAAAAGCAGAAAAATAATGAATGAAATAAATTCAAAGCAATTTCAGGCACGGAAATTCTAGTGCAAGTGAAATGCGTCTCTTAAAATTGAGCCATAAAAACTACTAGAAAATTCTTGTCATCCAATGATATTATGAAAATATCAAGACAAAAAGTAGAAAAAGAACAAAGAGACTTCTCATCGGCATCAAGGGAACCAAGGTAACCCTAATTTTGATCAAAAACATTAAATAAAGTTATAAGCTGTTAATCGTTAAGAATTCAACTGCTTTTCAGGCCGGCAACATAGTAGAACCAATTTTTAAATATGGTGGAGGAAATTAGATGAGAATAAAGCAAGTTTTTATAGAGCACAGGGCAACTAACTAGAAAAATCATCTCAATATTAAATTAAAATGATATTTCATAATTCTGTAACGCTTCAAGTTCCTTAGCCAACAAAAAACTCTCGAAGAAATTACATGGAAAAAAAAAGCCAAAGCTTCTAAGGATCAAGGTTTTATATCGTTGAAAATAACCGCTTGTCCTAAAAGATTCGAGGAAAGCAAGAAGTCCAAGTCCACAGCAGAGTGATAGATGAATACAAGTTAAAAAGAAAAAAAAAA